TCAACGACCAGCAAGCTACAGTGCTGGACGTTGAGTGAAGCTGGGTGCTGGCGTTGAGATGGAGATCTCTGGGAGATTTTCGCCGTTTGATATTATGTGCAGCTGGGAGGCCTCTTGTGGACCAGTGTCCTGAAGTTGGCTGTCCCACCTCAGAGGCACAGCACTAACTCCTGGCTGCAGCACCAAGAGCCTTTCATCCACAGGGCTCCTTAATTTGGGATGATTCGTTGTCTATTCATGTATTCCACAGATGCAGGGTACATCAAGTTGATTGTGGAGCTTTAATCCGCTGCTTCTGTGGCTGCTGGGAGAGATTTCCCTTTCTCTTCTTTGTTCTCGCAGCTCCCAGGGGCTCAGCTTTGGATTTGGCCCCGCCTGTGCGTGTAGGTCGCCGGAGGGCGTCTGTCCTTTGCTCAGACAGCCCGGGGTTAAAGGAGCCGCTGATTCGGAAGCTCTGGCTCACTCATGCCAGGGGTAGGGAGAGTCACGGAGTGCAGGGCGAGCCTGCGGCGGCAGAGGCCGGAGAGACGTTGCGCCAGCCTGAGGGGCGCCGTGCGTTCTCCCGGGGGAGTTGTCCCTGGATCCCAGGACCCTGGCAGTGGTGGGCTGCACAGACTCCCCGGAAGGGGGGTGTGGATAGTGACCTGTGTTCGCACACAGGCTTCTTGGTGGCGGCAGGAGCGGCCTTAGCGACTCATGTCTGTCTCTGGGGTCCGCACTTTTAGCCGCGGCTCGCGCCCGTCTCTGGAGCTCCTTTAAGCAGCGTTCTTAATCCCCTCTCCTCGCGTACCAAGAAATAAAGAGGGAAGAAAAAGTCTCTTGCCTCTTCAGCAGGTCCAGACTCTTCCCCGGACTCCCTCCCGGCTAGCCGCGGTGCACTAATGCCCTGCAGGCTGTGTTCACACCGCCAACCCCAGTCCTCTCCCTGCGCTCCGACCGAATCCCGAGCCTCAGCTCCCAGCCCCGCCTGCCCCGGCGGGTGAGCAGACAAGCCTCTCGGCTGGTGAGTGCCGGTCGGCCCTGATCCTCTGTGCGGGAATCTCTCCGCTTTACCCTCCGCACCCCTGTTGCTGTGCTCTCCTCTGCGGCCCCGAAGCTCCCCGCTCCGCCACCCGCAGTCTCCGCCCGCGAAGGGGCTTCCTAGTGTGAGGACACTTTTCCTCCTTCACAGCTCCCTCCCGCTGGTGCAGGACCCGTCCCTATCCTTTTGTCTCTGTTTATTTTTTTCTTTTGCCCTACCCAGGTACGTGGGGGGTTTCTTGCCTTTTGGGAGGTCTGAGGTCTTCTGCCAGCGTTCAGTAGGTGTTCTGTAGGAGTTGTTTCACGTGTAGATGTATTTCTGGTGTATCTGTGGGGAGGAAGGTGATCTCCGCGTCTTACTCTTCCGCCATCTTGGGGACCAGATTTAAAAGACGCAAGGATTTTTTTAAGTCACGTTTTTGTCTCCATCTCTATCCTGAAGGATGTTGAAAGAACAAAACGTCTTGTGTGGTTTAAGCACTGCCTTTGGAATCGATATGGATATATTTTAATGGCATTTTTATTCTGTATGATTTTGCTCTGTAACACATTTAATCTTCACAGTAACCCTGTGAGATAGGTATTATTATTACCTCCATTTTAGAGGTAAGGAATCCAAGCTGTGGAGAGGTGAAGTGACCTTTCACCGAGTGGCTGAGCTGGTATTCACTCCAGGCTTGTACTCTGAGAGATGATGTCACACTACATTCCTTCCTGGACCAGGCTTGCAGCAACTTTCTGTTTCATCTTCATCTCTGCCTACCCTCTCCCTACCTCACTGAAAAGCTGCTTATAGATCTTCCTTCAGATGTTTCCTCCCCTCCCAAAGTCTGGGGCTCTAGAGTTCTCTTGAATATGGGGGAGAGATCCTTTCTCTCACTGGTTCCCATGGCAATTCTGTAAATTATAAAATGGAAGAGCAATCAGGATTAAATTAACATGTAATTTTAAGTATAGTTGCATGAGGTTAGAGAAATAGGAATGGAAGATCTTGATAAAGACATTTTAGGGAATCCTAAATAGTCCTTTTCTTGTTTGGGATGTGCAAAAAAGTTTTCAGAAACTACTATGCACCGTTAGTCCACAAGTACTTACAATGTACTTACCTTGGAACTTACTTTAAATGCGTCTTTCCTTTGTGCCTTGTGTTTTTGCCTCTGTTTTAAGAACCTGTGGCTATGTAGCTGCTGAATTGAAATAATGATTTTGCTAGCCTATCTGGTGATTTTCTGGGACACTGTAAACCTTAACTAAGCATCTGTAGGTGTGAAGACTTGGTTGGATGTACCAAGGTTTCATTACTCATAGAAATGATCAAAGAATCCCAGAGATCATTAACAGATACAACCAAAGAAGAGTATACTGGAGAAAATACTTAAGTCTCTAGTAGGTACAGAGCCTAGAATTAGAATTTCTGGTTTGACATGTGCTGAGTTCCATCTCTGGATTTTTTAAAGCTCTGTACCATTCTTTACTTTTCTCTCTTTAGGTTTGCCTTGCACTGATTTTGGCCTGAGGTCCAGGATGGTTTGTTCTTGGGACCAGACCTGACCAGAAGTCGACCTCATGAGCACTTCAAGCTCTCCAGCTGCCATGCTCCTCCGGAGGCTGAGGCGGCTCTCCTGGGGCAGCACTGCTGTCCAGCTCTTCATCTTAACGGTGGTGACCTTTGGTCTGCTGGCCCCCCTGGCCTGTCACCGGCTTCTGCACTCTTACTTCTACCTGCGCCACTGGCATCTGAACCAAATGAGCCAAGAGTTCCTGCAGCAAAGCTTGAAAGAGGGTGAAGCTGCCCTCCACTACTTTGAGGAGCTGCCCTCTGCCAATGGCTCGGTGCCCATTGTCTGGCAGGCCACTCCCCGCCCCTGGCTGGTCATCACCATCATCACTGTGGACAGGCAACCTGGCTTCCACTACGTCCTGCAGGTGGTGTCCCAGTTCCACCGGCTTCTTCAACAATGCGGCCCTCAGTGTGAGGGGCACCAACTCTTCCTGTGCAACGTGGAGCGGAGTGTGAGCCATTTCGATGCCAAGCTGCTGTCCAAGTACGTCCCTGTGGCCAACCGCTATGAGGGCACTGAAGATGACTACGGCGACGACCCTTCGACCAACTCATTTGAGAAAGAGAAGCAGGACTACGTCTATTGCCTGGAATCCTCCCTGCAGACCTACAACCCAGACTACGTCCTGATGGTGGAAGACGACGCCGTTCCAGAAGAGCAGATCTTCCCAGTCTTGGAGCACCTTCTGCGGGCTCGTTTCTCTGAGCCGCACCTCAGAGATGCCCTTTATCTAAAGCTCTATCACCCCGAGAGGCTCCAGCACTACATCAACCCAGAGCCCATGAGGATCCTGGAGTGGGTCGGTGTCGGCATGTTGCTGGGGCCCTTACTAACCTGGATATACATGCGGTTTGCCAGCCGGCCGGGGTTTAGCTGGCCCGTCATGCTCTTCTTCTCCCTGTATAGCATGGGGCTGGTGGAGCTGGTGGGCCGGCACTATTTCCTGGAGCTGCGGCGGCTGAGTCCTTCCCTGTACAATGTGGTCCCTGCTTCACAGTGTTGCACCCCGGCCATGCTCTTCCCTGCCCCGGCGGCCCGGCGGACCCTCACCTACCTGTCCCAGGTGTACTGCCACAAGGGCTTCGGCAAGGACATGGCACTGTACTCACTGTTGAGGGCCAAGGGGGAGCGGGCCTATGTGGTGGAGCCCAATCTCGTGAAACACATCGGGCTCTTCTCCAGCCTTCGGTACAACTTTCACCCAAGTCTGCTCTAGCCTGCCAAGAAATGCCTTTCTGAAATTGGCCACTTCTTGGAGATTCAACTATTGAGCTCTTTATTTGGACATGGTTGTTTGCCGATATTTCATTGTTTTAGGGTTGCTAGGGATATAGACACTGGGATGGCTGAGGAACATACAAGTCCAGAACCTTGGCTTTGGTAACTCTCTGGCAGGAGCAAGCTGTTCACCGTGGGTCCAGACCTCTCGCCCTCCACACAGCCACACTGCCTCATGCAGTCTGACCCACCCAAAGAAGGGCATGTAAATACCACTTATATTCTCCAGTTGTTTTACGCTCTGCTTCATGACAGAGTTTGTGACTGCCAAAAATATTGTACACAGTGATATGACCAGTTTAGGATTTTAAGCGTAGAATTTGGTGAAAGGTGAGATTCTTTTGCAATGATTTCTTTCTCACTGGGAATAAGAATGGATGTATGTTTAGAATATATGTCCCAAGAGGCAGGACCACGTTGATAGATTCTATTTGTTTCCTTGACCTGGAGTAATAAAAGCCGCGCAGGGCCCGGCATCTTGGAGGCAGGTGACCCGGTTTTTGTTACCTGGCGTTTTCTTTTCCACACATCTGTAGTGCACTGATAATCAGTGTTGTCTGTGAGAACTTTAAGGCACAGCAAGATCTGAAATCACCTTCTGGATCCTCAAAGTCAGATTGCTTATGTTTAGCAGTGATTTAATATTGAAGATTTCTATCATACTCTGATTCTTTGAAAGTTGGACATTGCAGAATGATATAGAATGGGTGAGCTTTTTACTAATAGCATATCCTTTTCCCTAACTTTGCTGGCTAATCATTCACCTTCACTTCTTTTTCTTCTATGTAGCATGATGTTATAGAAGAAAAAGCATGGACTGAAGTCAGAAGACCTGAATTTTTATTTCAGATCTCTGTTAGGTCCCAGTGGTGTGAACTTGGGCAAGTCATAAGCACTCTGAGTCTCAGGTTTGTCACCTGTAAAATGGGGACAGTGATATCTACTTTTTTATGTTGCCTTGAGGATTAAATGACAGAATGTATGTAGAACACTAGCAAGTGCTTATCTCACAGAGGGCACTTGGTGAATATTAGTTCTTCTCTCTCCTATAATAAGCATATGAAACGCAAGTGTATTTTGGATAAAGGTATTAATGATATTATTTAAAGTATGATATGGGGCATAGGGCTGACACCTATGGAGCAGCTGTTCCAGACCAAACACTGCTAGAATAAAGGCTGACTTTTCCTTGTGACTTCGGAAGGATACGCAGCTCAAGATAAGAATTGTTCATTCAACTGGAAATGATCGAGACTCCTCTTGAGCTTATTCCGAGACTAGCATCTGAAAACTACTCTTCTCAAAAGTTACAAGTAAATTTCATTTGACAATACTTATCAAACCAGTGGCCAACTGTCCCTTTGTGGGGATGGATGATTATATTAGAGTGCAAGCAGCTGTCCAGTTTGTTTCAGTGCCACATCTTCCCTTTGCTTTTAAGTTTCCACAGTGAGCTAACATCTTGGGATCTGCTCGAGAACACTGAGAGAGTAACAGGGGTTCATCACCACACTTTATAGATGAACAAACAGGCCCCGAAATGTTAAAGGATTTCTTCAGGTTCACACAGCTGAACAGCAGCAGAGAGGACTGGAATGTAGTAGATTTTCTGACTTCCAGCCCCTGTACTTTTTTCTTAACTGCATTCATTTGATAAATATCTATGTAGTCAAATTCTCTTTTGTGAAATCTGATTGTAACCTGGACTAAATAATGTCTCTGTAAGCTAAGGTGGTAAAACCTCACTGTGGTGTTGGTCTTGGGGAACAAACAGGTATCAATATATGTTGTGTTTTTATAGTGAGCTGTTATGTATCCCCCAGGAATGTACAAAGTGACTAGAGCTACTAGATGACTTATTGAGATTCTCAGATTCCACCCCTTCATCTCTCCTTGCCCAGTAACTGGTTCAGCCCCATGTTTGAGAATTGAACCACCCTCAACCTAGAATTCATTTGAGTTTGTTGCATTAGTGATTGGATCTCCTCATGAAAAGTTTGTGTCCAATGACAAAACATGTAAGCTGGCCAAGCCCTAGATCAGAATCATTGCTGGTTTCCATTTCTGCTCTTTCTAATTCAGTTGTCTACCACACGTAGACATTCCTTCCCCTGACTCCTTCATTCTCGATGGCTAAAGTCACCTTTGCCTTGTCTTATTTCTCTACCTACACACTAAGACATCTTCCCCCATTGATCTTAACTAGAGTCTGCCATCCTTGGACATTTTCTGCAGAAGCAAACATGCTACCCACTTTTATCCCTACCCACTTTCTAGATCACCCTTCCTTTTGTCTCTCATTCCTAGAGTCCAAATTGTGTGTGTTGTCCTGGATTCGGACAGCTGACAGCTGTCTCTCATTTAATTAAAGCTGAAGTCTCTCATTTAATCCTAAGCAGAGGGCTAGGGGAGAACTGAAGTCCCCTTCCAATATCAAGGGACATAGTTTACCAGGAGGGTAAAGGCCTCTAACAGTCCTGCATACTTTTCAGAAGTTAAATTATTGTCAGGCCTAAGAAGCCCTATTGTGACTGACTGTATTTGCATAGACTTATCAGTTCAAATAAATGCACCTGTTTCACCAAGTCATCCTGAGAAAACTGGTCGTTCTCTTGTTTCTACAGATGAGTTTTTCTGATGTGGTGAATAGTATCGAACACACACACACACTCACACTATTGTGGGGTGTGAGCCATTCAAAAGTATGGGCTGTTTGCTTAAAAATTCATAAGTGAGTCTTGTATTTCTTAAATGGAAACATTTGAATTGTGCTTTCTTTTTTTAAAAAAAAGTGGTGAGAATACTATAGTGCAACTGGAGAATACAAGTAGGATGAATATAATGATAGGATTAATTTAATTTACCTTGGATACAGTCCTCATTTGGGGGAATTTATTTAATTGGTAACTTAATTTAGGTAAAGAGGCATTCTCTTTGGATTTGATTACTGTGGGGTTTTTATATACACTATGATGCATTGTGAATTACTGTAACACAATATAAAATTGGGTAATTTTAAGTCACATGATCCATTTGGATATTTTGATCCCAGCTACAATGAGTTTGCTGAGAAATGCTCATTAACTGGCACTGTTTTTTTTAGGTTGGATTTTGTTTGGGAAAAAAACCTTGGAACTACATCAAAGATGATTGGAAATGTAATTTTAAAGTACTTAATATAACTGCAGTGGAGATGTGCTGTGGCTTCCAGGTCATTACAGTACTTGGATTACAACACTGTCGTGAGTCATCACTCTGCAGTGAATGGGGATTTGGGGGTTAAAATTTAACAACTTTTCTTGATCTTTTCCCTAACAACCTATGCAGAAACATGGATGAGTGATTTAAAAAAAAAAGCATCTATGTTAATAATTTGGGGGTAAAAACAGATGAAAATATAAAGGCAAACGATGAATTTATCAAAAAGAAACAAGGACCAGATGGCATAAGTATGTAGGAATGGGTAGCTCAGAGAGATGGGGCAAGTAGACAAAGATGTAGAGTGAAGCAGAGAGTCTCACATTTGTCAACTGTTGTGTGTCCCAAACTCCCTTATGTCATAAATCCTTTATGTCTGCCCCACTGTCATGAAATCTTTATAGGACCAGCCTATGGAGAATACAAAGGAACAAAACAATGGATAGTCAGTGTTCTGGATAAATAATTCATCCCTTTGCTAGGACCTGGCTTCCTATTGCATTTAGAATAAAATACAAACCTCTACATTACCTTCCAGGCCAGATGTGACCTGCCCCTGCAAAACTTCATTTCTTAACCACTTCCATCCTTTTTCTCCAAGCTCTAGCCATACCTGCTTTCTTTAACTTCCTCGGACTTGTTACAGCAGTTCTTACTACAAAAGGAATTTTCACTGCTATTCTCTCTGTCTGGAATGCTTTTCTCTTAGCTGAATCTTTCCTGTAATATAGGTATCAATTAAATTTTAATCCCTTTTCCCCCAACAGACTTTCCGTCCCATCTAAAGCAGTCTTTCCCCTTCCCAACCACCAGGTCATCTATCACGTTATACAGTTTGATTCCCTTCAAAGCTCTTATTACCTGAAATGTATTATATTTGTTTTTTTCCTCTATTCTACACCCCCCCCAGCATATAAGTTCCAGAATATCAGGGGTCTTCTAGACTTCATTCACTGCTCTATCCCTAGAACCTAGAACAATACCTGAGACATAGTAGGAAATGAATGAGAGAGAGAGATTGTGGTAGTAGAGGGAGAAAGAAAGGAAAAAAGGAAGGGAGAAAAAAAGCAAAGGGATCCACAGTGGAACTGCCTCCAGAACAAAAGACTACTGGAAGAAAAGAAATGGGACCAGGGAAGAAAATTAGAAAGAGAGGAACAAAGAGGGATCCAGGTAGTGAGGGCTGGTTATGATGTACAATTTTGACACCTGTAAAAAGAAGTTTTTTATGTGTTTTCCAGGCAAAGGGAATGACAAATGCAAAAAGGAACTTTTTACACCACCACACAGCTACTTTTTCCTCTGTTGTTATTAGGGTTTTGTTTTCAGTGTGTGTGTCGGGGTTGTGTGTGTTTTTGGTGGGGTGGGGGGGTCCCTGTGTGTTATTCTAAGGGGAGGGCTGGGTTTTCTCCTTCAGGCTTCAACTGCTGCATCTTCCTGGTATTACCAATGGGAATCATCTAGACAATGACCACCACCCTTGGTGGCTCCACGGCCTATTCTAGGACTTTTAGGCAAGAGGCTGGAAAGAGAATGAAGGAAAGATCACCACCTGGCACCAATGAACTCTTCTCAAGTTCTATCAGTAAGTGGAGAGATGGTTTAAGTCTTACCATGTAGCTCTGGGTGATAGTGGTGAGCTTTCCAAAACGTTATGACTTAACACAAACCAAGAATAGAGAGGTAAACCTTCCCAGAGGATGGGAGGGACAGGAAACTCTTACAAGGATCATTTTTCTGGTGCATTACTTGTGTGTCCTTTAGGTTCTGTTAGCGTAGCTTTGTTTAAATGTGAGCAAGCTGAGTCCTCCGCAAAATTCATGCACTGGCAACATGTTAGGCAAAGAATGCACCCCACCCCAATTTGTTTTTATCCAGAAAAAATGTAAACCCTGGCATTGCTGTGACCAAGGACCTAACACTGGTTGCTTGTACAGGCCAGCAGCTCATACTTTTGAAACACAAGTCAAACCAGTGTTTGTAGATTTCTTTCTAGCAACATGTTTGGGCAATTACTCTTGTCTTCAACCAAACCCCTTTCCAGCCCCAGTACATACAGATCCAGAATCCATAACTAGCTGGGGTTCAGCAAAAGTAGCTTGGCTTCCATCTAGCTCCCCCTCCCATGAGGTTTATGATAAAGGAGAGGTAGGATCACATCTTCTTCCTGCAATGTGCACAGGAAGCAATCATATTTTTAAAGTTATTAAAAAAAATAGTATGTATCTGTCACATTCCAAATTGTAGTTCATGTATTTTTCTGCAAGGAACTACATCAAACAAATTAATCATAAGTAAATCTAAATTTAGCTGTTTATCCCCAACTTAAAAAATGCCTAAATCATATTAGCAACATTCAGATAACTCAAGCTTTTTTTCTTTTTTAATCCAGCTGAACTATTAGCTGAAATGCCCCAATCTGCAGAAACACATTCCTGTATTTGAAACAGAAAAGGCTTTGAAGAGGTTAGAATCACATTATTTTTCATTTACCCGTTAACACCAAAGGAAGAAAAGAACTGTTTCAGCCAAATTAACACCTTATTGTCACACTTAAACATTAGTCCTCACACTAAAGCAGACACACATTAAAATTCTGAATTGCAACTCAGGAGCCCTTTAAGACAAAGAATTTTTGTTTTGTAAAAGGCACCAGGTGTCATGTCTCACATATTAATTTACATTTGGGGTGACAGGGACGGTGCTGAATGCTGCAGACACAAGGTTGAGTGAATAAGACATGGTTTCTTCCTTTCAGGACCCTGGCATCCAAGGGGGCAGCTAGTACAGGAAGGTGAGTCCTGGGTTGGTAGGGTCACAGGATGCTGTCTGTAAATTACCCCAAAGTGCCAGGAGTCTAAGGTACCCCAACTTCCTCAACTCTTCTGCAACCACTTTTGCCGAGGACAACATGGTCCACCAAAGAAGTCTCTAACTAACAAAGGAAATTTTTTACATAAACATTTATTTACAGGAAAAAAATGAGAGGTGTGGGTGAAGGGGAATGAACTTGTCCCAGCTAAAGGGAGATAAGGAGGGTGAGTTAACTCTTGGAGAAGGTGCTGTCGGTAGAATATATGTATCTTTTGCTGTAAGAGGAAGATCCAGAAAATTATCATTGAAGGGTTATTTCTTTTCCTTGCATTTCCGGAAAAACAAGCCTCTTAATATCCTATTTTCTAATCCAAATTCATGTGACATCTTTTTCTGAAAGTGAATAAAATTGACTTCCAAAGAACTTTGCTTGCCCAGGGGTGACACACCTTGTTGCAGCACCTTGCCGTACCTCAAAAAAGAATCAAGAAAACCTCACTCCAAATGTCTTACTGTCCATCTCATCTTGCTGACAAAAGCGTGCTGATCCTCAAATGGAGAGAGGGCTGTGAGGGTCACAGTTGTCCTCACTCCTTTAAGGTGAAAACTGATGCTTTCCTGCCAGGTCATTGCCCTTGCCCAGGCTTGTGGCCTTTGGGTGTCTTGTGTAAAGTCTGTTCTTTCCAAGGCTTGTAGTCTCCACAGCTGACTGCAAGCTAGATCCAGTCTCCTGGAGCTTTCTGATGACTTCCTCAGGCACCACAAGTTGTGAGTGAGCGCCCTTCTTTGAACTATGAAGAATGTTTAACTGAGGGCCACAAATTTCTTCTGCTTGCCTTCATCAGTTTCCATATGGATCTGCAAGCCTAAAGACACTCATTCCTTTTAAAAATTATTATTTTCTATCGATTCACATTGAAACAGTATTGGCCAAAGTTGTCAGTCTGGCTCTAAGGCTAGCTGGTCAAGTTGCTGCTCCACAAACAGTGGAATATTTCTTAATTCACAGCCATTGTTCATAACTCTTCAACTACTCTAATCCTTACCTTCAAGGATTCCCACATATGAATGAACTAAGCAGAATAACACAAAACAATAAGAGAAAGACCTGTGTTTTCAGCAAATGTAATTCTTAACTAGTTAGGAAGCACTCACTAATCATTTCTAACTATGTGCCAGTAAGTTTGGTTTACCTATGAAAATTCTGATTTCATTTGCCAAAGATCAGACATCTCAAATGAAAAGAAAACTATGCTGTTATCAATCTACTTCTCTGAAAGAGATGTTCAGAGTGCTCTTTTACATACATCAGGAGAGTGTGTTGTGAATTTTGCAGGTTGGTTTCAGCACGGGATGCTTGTAGCATTAGGATGCATTCAGCTGCAAATAACAGAATCCAGTCTCCCAGGGCCTTAAGCAATAATGATGTTTAATTTTCTCACCTAACAAGAAGTCTGGGGAAGGCAGTCTCGGCAATGCAACGATGTCATCAAGGACCCAGACTCTGTCCTGTTCTGCCACCTTTTGCCGCTTCATGGCTATTGCAGCTTCAAATATCAGGTCCTCACAGGGCTGCA